AGTAACAAGTGCCTTACTAGTAGTAACAAGAAGCTATTAAAAACAATTTTCGCCACAAGTACTAGGAACAAGTGCATCGCTTCTAGTAACAAGTGCTTCACTAGTAGTAACAAGAAGCTAAGAAACAATGTTCACTACTAGGAACAAGTGCATCGCTTCTAGTATAAGTGCCTTACTAGTAGTAACAAGAAGCTATTAGAAACAATGTTCGCTACTAGGAACAAGTGCATCGCATCTAGGAACAAGTGCCTTACTAGTAGTAACAAGAAGCTATTAGAAACAAGGTTCGCTACTAGGAACAAGTGCATCGCTTCTAGTAGCAAGTGCCTTACTACTAGGAGCAAAGAAGCTACTAGTAACAAGTGCATCGCTTCTAGTAACAAGTAGCTGGGAGCCTCTGTCACCTAGTGACGTGACGCAACCTCTGTCCAGTGAATTCAGGAAGGGCTGGTGAAAGAGATTGAGTCTGTGCATCTACACCCAAATGTACACACACCCTTTTTTGTGGACACCCAAGAAACTTAGGCTATCATGGTCATCTTATATAATTTTTTTTGTTGTAGGTGTGAAAGAAACGAAGCTCGGTTCAAAAGACGTCAATAAAAGTGTTTTTTCCACAAGTTGGAAGCAAAGTGGGGAGTCAACTCAGTTGGCCGTCCAAAAGCTCTCTCTCACATCGTTCACCCATGTTTCATCCTGAAAGTCATGCCGCCTTTGTGGTCAAGAGTCATACAGAGATGGGAAGATCCTCTTGCTGTCACTTCGTCGGTGGACCTGGGTTGCTTCACTGCGAGACCTCCAAAAGGTCGCCGTTGGTCGCGGATCCGCCGATTTCAGCACGAGGTGGAATGGTGAAACAGTGTGTATAACTGTGTCATCTTGTTTGATCAGCAATTGTATCTTTTTTTCGGACTTGCTTCGAGTGGAAGAACTCGTTTTTGCTTCGAGTGGAGCCCTGGAGAGCGCTGGTTCTGTAATGGTAACTTTGATAGCCAGATCCCTACAGTAGTCGATAGGGACAAAGGATAAACTCCTACTTCCAGGAGAACTTCTTGAATCTGTGGACACTGACTCGCATTGGCAAATTGCCAGCTCATGCAGTGTTGTGAACCCACTTCAATCTTCAAGACATGGCTACGTCAGTTTTGCTACATCAAAGCTGTAGTGTTCAACTGCATGTTTATCTTTACGTAGCAAAAGCGCTTCTTGCCCTCCCAACACATCGACCCAAGTGGCATAGACCTCAGGCTGCTCTGAGATGGGCTGCTCAGCAGTCACGAAGAGCCCGATGCCACGGTGGAGCAAATTCTGCTGGTGCACCAGCTGGCGCGGCACAAAACCTTGGCCAAAACAGACCAGGTGTGCCTGGTAGCAACCAAAGTGTGCCAAAAAGCACTCAGAATCCCGAAAGTCGGGGTACGGTAAAGCATTCCAGGCCAAAGGAATGCCTTAGGCATCTCCTCCAGTTTCGGCATGAACCAAACCGGTCGAGGCCAAATCGTGGCAGCCTAGAGCGAAGGACAGACACCGCCTCTTGGAGATGGTGTGATAAGATTCTTCAATCTACAGCATGCTGGATTGCCAACAGAATCTTGAGTCTCTCTCCCATCGCACAGAGAATCAACCAGCGACCAAGAGAATTTGATTAATATACTGTAATCAAATCGCGAAGAAACCTCCACTTAAATGGTCGAACTCATCTCGGGAAAAAAAAAAAACACTTGTCCCTCCCTCTCGCAAGCCGCCACAAACAAAAAACACTGGTCACAACTTGTTTCGGAGCTCAGTCACCCAGGAGCTGTCCCTCTCGATCCACCATCTCAACGATTTCGCCCGAGGTGTTGAAGAAGCGGCCAATCCCCTCCATCGAGAGGTCCAATGGGATTTCTTCACCTCGGAGCTCGAGGGACACACGCGCCACGGCGCTGCGCGTGTGGGCGTGACGAAAAGCAAGCGGAGAGCGAAATCATGATCCGATCAAGAGTGTTTTGAGTTTCATGGCCGGAAGGTGGAGAAAACCTCCCCAAAAGCTTCCTAGATTCAACCGGTGTGTGATAGAGCGAAGACAAAGAATCTCTATAGTCAATATCCACTACTACAACAACATCTCACATATCCATACAAATATCACAACTCCGCGTGATATTTGGTCGCTACCCCCACCCTCCCCTGCTTCTTTCCAACGTCACCCTCCAGCTGCACCCACCACGGCGCACGCTGTGCACGCTGCGCCGCGTGCTGCACCGCGTGCTGCGCCAGTACTCGGCACAGCAGCGGCGCAAGCTCTGCAGGCATCGCGGAGCCACGTTGGGTGATGGACACCTGCAACTCGGACCCTTTTTCAAGCTTAGTTTCTAATGGCCGATGGCCTCCAACCTGAATAGCAAATAGCAATCTCCTCCAACCTAATTTGCAATCTCCTCCAACATAATTAGCAGAATTAGCAATTGCTTCCAACCTAATTAGCAATGGCCTCCAACCTACCTGCAACTCGGACCCTCTTAACGCAGTGAGGGATGGACAGTGGAGAGAACATCAGAACGGGATGAAGCGGCCTTCAGTTGGTGTGGTTGAAGAATTCAAACATGTTCAAACCGTTTTTTGCAGTCTTCTGGGACTCATGGAAGGAGTGGCGACGAAAACTCTGGGGATGGGTGAGAAAGGTCTGATTTTGACGTGTAAGATAATGTGTCTTTCAAACATGGTGGTCCTGGCTGTGAATATCAGAGGAAATTGGCGCGGCCACATTCAAAATCAAAAAACCAGACGGAATGTCATGGGCACATGCGGTGAAGACATGTGAAGAGAGAGCCGTTCAGGGAAGATCTGCCACTGGAAGATCTTCTATTTTTTGAGCCCGCTCAGCCCCCCTACAACTTAATTATCTAAGTAAGTAGGCGCCGGCGCCTACTTAATCGAGTAAGGGCTAAGCTAGCTCCTAGGTAGGACGCGGGATAGCTCATGCTGTTCATTTGGTTCCTAGATTTGCAGGGATTGTTTTGTTGTTTAAAGAACCTTCCACTCGATCGAAATGGCTAACACAGTCCTCTTCAAATCCACACTCATCCCTTTCCCTCGGCCAGGAAGATCTAAACGAGGAGATCTGCAGGGTTCGGGCGGAGAGTTTCTCAGAACGGCACCTTCTTCTCTTCAAAGTTGACTTGCGCATCCAAGCTCATGCTACCATCACCTTGGTTGCAGGTTAAGCAGGAACCCAATTGCCTAGAAACCTTGAGAACTCCGCTAAGGGAATTGTTCCAGTGAATTGTTCAAGACCTCTCGCCAAACCGGACACCGGAACTGCGGGTAGCAAACGCCTTCAACAGCCACCTCCAAGAGGTCCAAGTGCACTTGAAAGCCACGGTGGACGATTGACTGTTTCCATTCGCACATGTTGAACACCGATAAACATCCAGGATACAAAAAAGATACCACTTTTGCGCCAACCACAAGGCCTTCACCTCATCCAACTTCAACCCCAACGTTGACCTTTGCTGCAGCCACAGTGACGCACCTCTGAGCCTCTGGTCGTCATGAGAGATGCCCAGGCATGAGCCCCTTCAGATTTGAATTCTGCCTTGCTGGGTAGCTCACGCAAGGAATAAAGCGTCCATCGAAGGACATCCTCTTCGCTGCGACAATGGACCAAGTAGGATCCTGCAAACAAGTCTATCCTGCTCCAGTTCTCCTTTCTTGCGTTGGCTTACCTCTTTTGACGATCACTTCAGTTCGAACTTCGTTTTTTAATGTGTTTTTGCTGTTCAGTGCTCTTCGGTGCTCTTTTGTTACAGTCCTTCAAAACAGGTGTCCTTTTTGTTAGATCATCGTGTCGATCCAGTCTCGATCCAATGTCTTCTTCAGCCAAACAAACACACACACACACACCCTTTCGGACCAATTCCGCCCCCAAGTCGACCGACCATCTCCTGCCAAACTCCTCGTTTCGAGCGCCGGGAGGAGGCCACGACCACCCGCACAGGCGCATCGGGCGAAGCGAGTGCCAGCAATGACCGCAGCCAACAAACACGCCCTCCTCTGCAAAGTCCGTGGGGTGCCTTCTCTGTCTTAAACAGAACGACGCGCGTCTGCAATTTCACAACTCAGAAGAAATGTCTGGCCTTCTGAGTTGACCAAGACGTCTTTGGATGACAAAAGGGTAGCTGTCGAAGCAAGAGAAGGTTTCGGCTCCGAAAACTCAATGTGCTCTTTACAAACAAAGACTTTAAGGAACCTAATAGCGATGGCCTCCACCCTAGTGGCGATGGCCTCTACCCTAATAGCGATGGCCTGCAGGTTTTGCTTCTTCAAACCCCGGTGGCTGTCCTAGGCCAGCGCGGCCAGCGCTTTGCTCCACTTCGTCTTCGCACCGGCATCACACGCGATCTTCATCGACGGACATGTGGAAGTGGATGTACTGGATGCTCTGAGTTGGTGGCATTTCCCCGATCATGGTACAATCAGTCCAGGGTGCCATCTTCTTGTGTCTTGGCACTGACTTCTTATGTCTTGAGGTCGGATTCTCTGTTACTAAGCGCACCTTTCTAGCTGCTCAGAAGCATGACTTGTTTGGCCGTGCGATCAAACCAGCCTTGAGCTTTCTGCTTGAAGTACCGTGCATACGTGGTAACCCCCAGTCGACGGAGCCGGCCTTCCTCGCGCAGCATGCACGACGGTCGCCCTAGGCCCACCTCAGTGCCCGGTCGCCAGGCCATAGCTGGCACTCGGAAGACCTGGCAGTTGGATGACTCGGCGATGTGGTCGTGAGTGGTCTGGTGGTGAATACCATTGAATACCTGTATGGGTGGACGAAAAGAGCCACCAGAGGTGAAACTCACAGGATGGAACCAGCACGATCCATCGTGCGAGAAGTCTTGCTCTCTCAAACTGATTTTGTGCAACAGGCAATCGCTGAAAGGACTGGAAGAAGGGAATCTGGACAGGTGGGAACAGGTGCATTTCTTTGATCCATGGAATCCCTGAATCCACATTAAAGATTTGCTCACGTCAGTATTCATCTTGGGCAGATCTTAAGCAAATACCCAGATAGGCACCAAATTACACTCAGGAATAGGTTGTTCTGTTCTTGGTTGCTTGAGTCTGAGAGCTCTTTTCCAGGCTGGACAAACCACCAAAGGAGTCATCCCGTCTGGACTCGTCCCACACGCCCAGTCCGGTCCCACACGTCGCACCTCCCGCTGCCAAGAGGTCTCTTCGAACCTCGTTCGTTCGACCGCGATCCGTGCGATCCGTGGCGACGTCCTGTCCATCCTTGTTCCTAGTAGCGATGCGAGGAGCCCCGTTCGTAGCTTCTTGCTCCTAGTAGTAAGGCCAGGAGCCCCTAGTAGCATCCTTGTTCCTAGTTGTTAGTCCCAAGCCTCAACTCGTGATTCAAGGACTCCCTCTGAAGAGGGCTCCTATCTCAAATTCTTGGAGGCCATTGCTGGTAGGTTGGAGCCTCAACGTGCCAAAACAACTTTTGCTGTGGACCCCCGGCAGCAAGTCATTCGAAGGTCCATCGGCAGCCCCTAGACGTGACAGGGCGGCCTCAGAAACGCTCAGCATGTCAATGCACTCAACATGCCAGGCTTGATTTCCAACTGCTTCACTTTAGATCATCTAATTTGTATGATCATCTTAGATGTGTTCACTTCAATGGTGTGTGCTTCAAAAATGTCCAACTCCGAGGCAAACTTGTTGGGACTGAGTTGCTGTAATCTCTAGCATGCCTGAGATGGAAGACCAGCTGGTCATCGTTCCGCACCCAGGAAAGTGAGTCGTTCATCGGTCTTCTTGGGGTGATGCGCTCAAAATCCGCCGACATGGATCAAACTGAGCAATGCTGCATATATACATCGACCACCCGCGCCGCTTTCGCATGTCATCGCCTTCAAATCAGAGGGCAAAGGGCAACTCACCAGCTGCACGGAGTTCCTCCCACCACACGTGGATTCATCGGACGAGTCCCCGTCCGCCCGTCGGAACAAGATCGATCGAAGGGAAGGGATCGCTCGCTTTAACACTTGCACCATTCAGATGAAAAAGAAGCGAGTCCCTCCCCAAACGCCCCAAACCAAGCAGCTGAGCACCTTCTCGGATCGAATCTTCGCCAGCTTTGCTAGCTCTGCCGGGACGGGCCACTTAAGTGGATATCCATTCCGACGACCAAGTCGGGACGGGCGCCTTTGGCACGGGAACGAGTTCGCGCATCGAACGCCAGCATGGACCATAATTGTGAGATGTTTTCACAATGGGATGGTCCTATGCAGCGTTCGGATTGACCCGCTCGCGGATCTCAGCCCGCTGTGCCCACTGGATCGGGATCCACGACTGTTGCGACTGCGACGGCCGAACACGGTCCGCGTTGCGTTCGGCGATCCCAAGCTTCGAACATTGGCCTCATGGTTCACATCGATTGACGGCGAAAGGAGGGGAACGCAGGAAATGATGGAAATGATGGCAAGGGACACAAGGAAAAAAAGAGCTAGGGTGTAGGCTATCGCTACCAGGGTGGAGGCCATCGCTATTAGGTTGGAGGCCATTGCTACACAAGTGTCAGGCTTTGGCTGCTCTTTCCCGAGCAAAGCGGAGACTCTTTGCATCTGTTTAGTTGGGAGCAAGCTTATAACAAGAAGCTATTAGAAACAACAAGCTACTAGGAACAAGTGCATCGCGACTAGGAGCAAGGGCCTTACTAGTAGTAACAAGAAGCTATTAAAAACAATA